TCAGGAATCCCGACTCCCTCCTCCCTGCCCAGCAACAGCAAGATGGAGGCGTACGGCGGCCAGCTGGGATCCTTCCCCAGCTCCCAGTTTCAGTATGTCATGCAAGCGGGCAACCCTGCCTCCACCTCCTCCTCTTCACACATGTTCGGTGGTGGCCACATGCAGCAGAGCTCCTACAACGCCTTCTCCCTCCACAATCCCTACAACCTCTATGGATACAATTTCCCCGCTTCCCCCAGGTTGGCGGCCAGCCCGGAGAAACTCACCACCTCCCAAAGCACTTTACTCTGCTCTTCCCCATCCGGCGGGGCCTTCGGAGAGAGGCAATACCTTTCCACAGGGATGGATCACGGGATGCACATGCTCAGCCCTCCCTCCGGTAACCAGCAGACGGCCAACGCCTGCGACAACAGGCAGTACGGTGCGGTTCAGGGCTCCTCCTCACAGATGTCCGTGCACATGGTCTAACAAGCCGTGCCTCTCCTCGGCATCGAAGGCAGCCGGACCTTCGTCGTTTCCGTGGGTAAACCCATCCCAACACCTTTGTGCCTTCAACCTTATAGTGGAACTAGTATTGAACTGATACACACGAACACGAGCCACCCAGGCGTGCGCCAGCGAACCTCGTGGAAAGCCTTGGCTGACAGCCGTCGCAGCTCCTCGCGGCCCGGGTCCTCCAGACCTGGCACGGAGCATCTGCTCTTTCTGGACATTGCGGAGACAAGGGCGAGACTTTAACAAGAAGCTGGGCAGAAGCTGGCTGTACCGTTTGTGCATGAACTCTGAGCTCGTGTGAGCTCCCGGCACGGAGGGAGCCGTGCCTCTGGGCTCTGTCCCCCCCCAAGGCTTTGCCCTCCGAAGCTGCGCTGCCCGTGGCTGTAAAGACCTCCTGCTTCCCAGGCTGTCCCTCACTGCTGGAGCGGCTCGGCCCGTTTCTGAAGCCAACGGTGGCCCGTGGCTCCTTCCCCCAGTGCAGCGCAGGAACGGCGCTGCTGGGCTGGAGCTTCTCCTGCCAAAGAGGGTTCTGCGTTTTCAGCATGGCTCTGCCCGCCCAGCGCTTTCTCTGTGAGGGTCGAGCTCACCAGCAGCCAGCCCGCGGACGGAGATGGGAGAGGAAGAAGAGTTTCGCCCCAGAAGTGAGGCTGAGACATCCGCAGGGACTGATCTTCCGAAAGGTGCGCGGGGGACAGGGGGCTCCGCTCCCGGTGACGTGACCCGGAGCGATGCCCCAAAGGGCACGGACGACAGCCTTTGTGGGGAGCGCGTGCCCTGGGCACCCAGCCCCGGGGGAGGACCCGCTCCGGACTGAGCTGGCAGGGAAGAGCCGGGAGGAAGGAGAGCCCTGCTCTGCGGGAGCAGCTGCCCTGCCTCACCTTGCATGCCAGAGTTTCCATAGAAAACCATTAACATTTCAGTAACAGGTTGAGTATTTGCCAGCCTCCCGCCTGCCACACGATCTCTGTTTAACCAAATAGATCGTTGCCTTTTGACATCTTTTCTTTTCTGTTTTATTTTTCCTTCTCTTTTTTTGTTTTTTTTTTTCCTTCAAATCCTTTAAAAATAAGAAAACAAGTGTAGCTTGGCGCAAGCCATGCATTTAAGTTGTGTGAAAATGCAAATACCAAGTAACAGAATACAGATATTATTGAGATTTGTTGTGAGGTGTTGTAGATAAATGTATTTATATGCCTAGTGAGGGATTCAATATAAAAGAGGGCAATAAAAATGGTATGTAAAATATGTATGAAGAAAAAGGTGTATAAAGATTTGCCCTATGCACGGAACTCTGTTTCTAAGTGCCAAGCACAGAATGCGCTAAATAAATCCTTGCAATTGTTCCCTCTGTGTTTTCCTCTGTCTGTCAGGCTGCCTGGTGGTCTTCTAGGGACAGACTTTTTCAAAATACTGTCACGCATGTTTGCACAACAGAGGAGGCGAAGGCACGGGGCTGAATCGCGAAGTCCAGGCAATATTGCAATACAAACAGAAATTGTGTCTTCTGAAGAAATTTTAAAAATCGAGTGCTTGGGATCTGTAAGGTGTGTGCCTTTGCAGGAGGTGTGTCTTACGGAGAGATGGGAGTTGTTATTTGGATTGTTAAAGTCTAATAAAAAGTTCTTCGGAATGATTTTTCACAGTTCATGTAGAAAATGATGCTTACGAACGGCAGTATAATTCGTTTCTGATTTTTAAATGTCGTTTTGGCGTGTGTGTCAGCTTTGCGTTTGCATTTCATTTCTGATACGAGATGGAGACATTACCACCGAAGGCGGCGGGGAAGCTGCAGCCTCTCCAAACCAGGCTGTAAGTTATGGCTGCAGAGTTTACAGCTTGCTTTGTGTCAATAAATTATTTTTTTTTTCTGAATTGAAAAAGCACCAGGAAGGTAGAAAGACCTCGAAAGATAAATTTTGAAAGCATTTCTTAATTTTTGTTTTTACAGGGGCAAGTAATTATACCGATGCCATTCCCAGTTTGTTGTGCCTGTCTGGCACGACTGAAAAAACCAACTTTGAGAGGTCTATGAGCCGTTTATTCACATTATTATTATTCACACTGCTTTATACTTATTGACACCAAATGCCATCACAGTTGTGTCGCCTGTGCGCTGCGTTTGGCTCAGCCTTTCAGCTGTTTCTTACAGGCTTTTCTAAAGCTGACTTTTACAGTTTGGTTTCTCCCACAAGCGCTGCTGTGTTATTGCTCAAACCTTCTCCAAGTGGCTGCCAAGTTTATTGATTTTGAACCAGCTTCAGGAATGAGTTGGTCTCCAACGTTAATGCTTTTCCGTGATCAAAGTATGTAATAAGCAACACCAGCACGTGATGAGCGAGCTGCTCATCACTCCTTCCTCAAGTGCCTTCCTAACTCCATCGGATTCGCTGCCTAATGAATTTGTTCCTGTAAAATTTCCTCATACATGTGGATGGTGCAGCCCTTTGAATACCGGAGAAAGAAATCACACTGCTCAAGAGCAAGGTGTGTGCAAAAGCAAGCTTTTTCTCATTTATTCTGTTTTATTCTTTGTCAGTGAGTCTGCTTTCCAGCTAATAAGAAAATATCATTTAACAAAATCTAAATCCTTTTCAGTACCAAAATGTATGTTTCTAATCTTGATGAAAACAAACAAACAAAAAAGAACTTAATCAAAAATTAGAACTTAATCAAAAATTTAAACTGAAAGAGGGCAGATTTAGATTAGATATAAGAAAGAAATTTTTCACTCTGAGGGTGGTGAGGCAGTGGAACAGGTTGCCCAGAGAAGTTGTAGATGCCCCATCCCTGGAAGTGTTCCAGGCCAGGTTGGATGAGGCTTTGGGCAACCTGGTGTAGTGGAGGGTGTCCCTGCCCATGGCAGGGGGTTGGAACTAGATGATCTTTAAGGTCCCTTCCAACCCAAACCATTCTATGATTCTATGATTCTAAAAATTACCCCTGGAAACAGTCACTGAAGAACGCAAAAGACAGATGTAGGACACAACTTTCAGGATTAGCCTGAAGAACTGGACTCCCAGTTTCCATGCGTTTTAGCAGGAGTCTGTGGGGAAGAGCTTTGGAATTGTCACCCCGACTCCTCAGCAGGATGATCCTTCAAGGCACTGAGCACCCTGTTCCCGACCCAACCGCGCTCCTCAGCATACCGAGATAATGTTACTCCATCCAGTTGCCTTCGGTGTTAAACTTACTGACCTTAGAGTGAGCGTTTTGGGACCATATTTATAGACATTTATTTAGCTCTCATTTATTTAGCACATACATAAAACAAGGGAGCTTAAATAGCTAGCTGGTTATTCCTTCATCTTAGCATGTGTTAAGTGTTTTGTTGATTTAGGATCAGAATATTCAACATCAAGACTGACAAAAAACAGGAAAAAACCCTGAGAGAGGCTTTCCTGCCCCAAGATGTAAAGCGGTGAGTACACAAATGTGATGGGTGTGGAAGTTGCGCTGAGTCTGGGAGGGTTAAAAACAAGCTGGGAGCGAAATGGGGAAAAAGTAGTCAACTTTCTCCTTGGTTGTCACTGTCCAAAGCAGCAGTAGAGCGGTGTTTGGAGGGCAGGATCAAAAATAACGAGGCTGAAGCACGCTGGAATGATTTACTTGGTGTTCAGTGAGGTGCTCGGGGTGGAATCCTGCCGGGATCGCACTCCCTGAGCAGACTGCTCAAGGCGTTGGCACCTCCCCAGGAGCACGAGGCGGGTGGTGGACCCAGGGATGACAGAGATATCTCTTCCTCCCCACCACCTCCGTAGGGTCACAAGGTTCTGAGCGATTTGCCCCTTTCTGAGGCTTCCCAGGGACGAGGCGATGGCAGTGGGCAATGGGAGAGATGCCCCGGGGCCAGTCTGGGGGATCTGTGTGGGACCAGCCCGGGTTGCAGTATGCAGAGCAGCCACCCCTGGAAGACTCCCTTTCCTTGGAGGACTGCTCTGACCACAGGACTTGAGAGCCCTCCTGGCATGGTCACGCTCTCGTCCAGGAGCCTTTCGATTGCTCATTTGCAAAGCATGTGTGCGTGGGGCACAGAGGGGGCACTTGGGTGGTTCCCTTGATGATGATGAGGAACCAAGGTGGTTCCCCCTTCCTTCCTTCCCTACTTCACCACGAACATTTGAACCCCTTGGCCAACTTTAATCGGCTTTGATGGCATAGTCACAGTTGCAAAGAGGTAAGTTCTCACGTTTCTTTAGAAGAGACAGAGGAGGAGGACAGGGCCCTTACTCATTTTCCCAGGCCACCCTGTGACATCTCCTCATTCAATGAAGCCACACAAGGAACAGGTATCCTGCATGCACAACCCCCCACCCCAAGTTTCTTCTGGCATATGCATGTTATTAGACACCAGAGGATCTACCAAGACCTGCAGAAACCAACAGATCTTTGCTCCACCACTCCTGGGCTGACTAATTTTCTATTAGCCCATGCAGGTTTCTGGCTTCCAGTCCAGGAGAAGAGAAGGCTCTCCATCTCCCAGTTAGATCCTGCAAATTTAAAAGGTGAAACATCAGGCACCTCTTTGAAGTGCCTTTTTTTAAAAGCCTGATCCAAATGCCAGAAAAGGTAGCAGAAATCTTGATGCTTGAAGATCCCTCATCTTGCAGCACAGGCTGTTGCAAATGCCAACCCGGCAACTTGTTACACAAACGAAAAGGATGGGGCAAAAATTATCAGAG